TCTGGTTGTTTCATATACTATAAAGTATATTGAATGCCACACTCTCGGCCTTCCATTTACCAAGACCTTGTGTGATGCTAACATTGTTGCAATTAGGGAGAACGTTGCTGCTGAGATATAGGACGAGACTAGCATACATGGTACGGAATTACGCACGTTTAACGGGTTGGACCTTTATGAGTAATATTGGATCAACAAGTTATATGTTTTTGTATTCCAACTAAATTTTTAGGATGCTTGCATATATAGATATAAGAAAAACTCATATCCTTTATTTTTTGGAACTATTGCGGGATATAACTCTAATGCCATGTCTTAGAATGTATATGATAATCTATGAAGTTTTTTGTTGATAGAATTCTTTAATTCAATTTTTATGATACAAAATAAGGGAAAATTACATGTATAGACACTTTTTTGGGAGGTGTTTACATCGATGGACACTTTTTGGCCAAAACACACTTTTATGTGCATTTATTTGTAGTATTTTACATTTAACCCATCAAACTTGATTCTAATAATAATAATGTCATTATACTATTTTAAAACTAAAAGAATAATTAAAACCAAACTATCTTTTTGCTTTTCCATGATTTTGTCCTTCTTCTTCTCTCCAACTTAATTCTTTGCTTTTTTGTATTCCAAGTCAACATTTCTTTCGACCTTCTTCTCCTAAGATACGAAAAGTTTGGATCAATCTTTCGTGCAGTTTATAACCTATCATGAATTTCAATCATCTAATAAATTCATTTTCCTTTTTTAATGTTTTTGGGTTTTTGTATGCTTTTATTCTCGATATTAGTTACAAAATTGATCAAAGCTGTTTAGGTTTGTACATGTTTGGTCTCTCATTTTGCTGAACATTTGACTGCACACAAGGTGCTCGCTGAAATGCCAAAGAGAGGCAAATTTCAGAAGTAGGGTAAACATGTTATAACCATTTTGTGTTGGTCATAAGGTTACACATAGTTTGGATTGTTTTTGCTGATTTTTGACACAATGTCTCTCCTTGCTCTTGTTTCTGGAATTGCTAAACATCAAGCTTC